ACACAGGGAAAGGGGAGGGAGAGAAACAGGGAAAGGGGGAGGGAGAGATGGTGAGGGGAATAGGGAGAGGGGAGAGACACAGGGAAAGGGGGGAGGGAGAGAGATGGGAGAGACAGGGAAAGGAGGGAGGGAGGGAGATGGGAGAGACAGGGAAAGGAAGGAGGGAGGGAGGGAGAGAGATGGGAGAGACAGGGAAAGGAGGGAGGGAGGGAGATGGGAGAGACAGGGAAAGGAGGGAGGGAGGGAGATGGGAGGAGGGGAGAGACACAGGGAAAGGGGGGAGGGAGAGAGATGGGGAGGAGGGAGAGACACAGGGAAAGGGGGGAGGAAGAGGCACAGGGAAAGGGGGTGAAAGAGGCAGAGGGGGAAGAGAGAGACAAAGAGGGAGAAATGAGAGAGAGACACACAAGGGGAGGGAAAGAAAGAGGCAGAGGGGGAAGAGAGAGACTGGGAAGGAGAGGGGAGACATTGACACAGAGGAGCAGTGAGGGGGAGAAAGAAACATACAGAGTAACTGGGGGAGACAAAAAGGCACGGCCGATCTCCCTCCCCGTTCCACAGGCACCGTGCAGCCAGTCGGCAGGGGAGGCAGAGAGGACCTGGGGCAACGCTCCGGCTCTCACGAGGGTGAACTCTAGCCCTGGAGCTACGGGCTAGAGTTCACTCTCACCACTTCCTGGTGGTCCCAGTAGTAGGAGTGAACTCTAGCCCCATACACACACTGCCCCACACACACACACACCATACACATTCACACACGGCCCCCACACACACACACACCATACACATTTACACACTGCCCACCCACACACTGAACCTTTCACATACATTGCACCACTGCTCCTATACCCTACTACAGCCCCATATCCCAGCAGACTCCAGGTAAGTTGTCAAACTGTTCTTAAACGGTTTGACAACTTACTCTGGGAGGGGGTGCCGACGCTCCTGGCACCATAACCACTACACAGAGGAGTAGTGGTTATTGTGCATGGAATATTTCTTTAAATAATCTACAAGTGCCCCTCTCAGGCTCAGGCTCTGGATCCGCCACTAGTATATGACATGTATATTAATGTGTGTATTAGTTATATATATATATATATATATATATATATACCTATTATATTTACACATATTAATGTACATTTATAAATGCATAATACACAGAGAAATTTCATTAATATGTACCTTATGTAATGAGCAGATATTGGCCCAGTCTTGTTGCTAGGTGCATACTCCAGCACAATAACATATTTAAAGTGAAGAGCACACCCACAGGACTTCAAAATAAACATTTTTTACAGTTGTGCCCTACATACATTCACCATTTCAGTCCCATTAACAAGCTTTCCTTAATATGTCAAGGTAGTTGGACTGAAACATTGATTACATGCAAAGGCACGTCTGCTCAAAATAAATCTGCACTTTTGTTTATTTTGAAGCCTATGAGTGAGCTTTTTACGTTGAAGTACTTTTTAATTTTAAGTTATCTGTTCTAACTCTGTATCTGCACACTATGCTGGCACGACGCATTATGGGCTGGTAAATATTTTTTTCCAGGGCTGCTTTTAATTCCCAGTCCGGCCCTGCTTGTGACTGTTACAAAAGTCTGGAAATAACTATGTTACTGTTTGCTAACCAATGGATACTGTTTGTCCCTGTATAAGTTTAAAACGAAAGACGCACGAATGGATTACCCGAACCATTATAAAGACTCCATTCGTGGTACGAACAGGGGACCCCCCAGAACTTGGCGTGTGCCGCCACTTAACCCCGTCACCCCGCAAACTACCGAACGCTCGACCACCTGGCCAGCGGCGTGTGGCAGCCATTAACCACCCAGGCGGCTGCGGTTTGTGGTTAACCACAACTTAATTGATAGGCCTGGGGGCATCGACGTTCGCATCGAAAATACCGAACGTGATCTACTGAATTACCAACCGAATGACGACCCCCTACTCGGGCCGCGTGGCGATCATTAACTTGTGGTTTCTGCGGTTAACCGCAGGTCAAGTAACCTGCTACCAGGTGGTCCTCGTTCACGTACCGAACGAGTTCCACTACCAGACAGACAGCGGGACTTCGCATGAACTGATACCGAGTTTAGTTCCACGAGTTAGAAGCAGGTCCTGCTGCCCGCTAAACCATCAGAAAACATGGCCGCCAACAGAGACTAACAATCCAAAATGCCGAACGGACTTTATACGGCAGAAACAGTCCGTTCTGTTCGTGGGATTAGAGCACCATTCGCATGTTTAATATATACGAACGCGAACCCTTAGATGAATGGTAGAATGAGTGGTTTCCCTGTAATAATGTAAAAGTTATAGATTTTCATGCAGTTTTCTGAGACATAATAAAACGTGGTCTTTTGTGCGCTTGGAGATAATTAGATTGTAAAACCGTTGGCCTCATTATCTCCAAGCTGGGCGGGTACTAATTCGAATGATACAGTGTACTGTGATTGGTTACCTGTTTGTACTGTACCTGTATTCCATCAGGTCCATAGGGGGCTGTCCTTGGACCTGAGGAATCACATAAATTGCCATGCTATGTGCCAGTAAAGCCAGTTCGTTTTGACCCTCAACTTGCAGCCTCGACTCATGTTGTAGGGATCCGGGATATTGATGCTTATATCATTTGCAGCTTACCACCGAAAGACCTCCGTTCGACTCTCTGCAGCGGGAACCAGGACATCCAAGAGATCAACCCTCCTGCTAGACCGGGGGCAATCGTAACAGTCACTCTTTCCCCCCCTCCCTCACTCCCTTGTCACTCTTTCCCCCCCTCCCTCCCATCCTGGTCACTCTTTCTCCCCCTCCCTCACTCCCTCATCACTCTTTCTCCCCCTCCCTCACTCCCGTGTCACTCTTTCCCCCCTTCCTCCCTCCCTTGTCACTCTTTCTCCCTCCTCGGTCCCTCGTCCACTCTTTCTCCCCCTCCCTCACTCCCTTGTCCTCTTTCTCCCCTCCCTCACTCCCTCGTCTCTTTCTCCCCCCTCCCTCACTCCCTTGTCACTCTTTCCTCCCTCCCTCCTTCCCTCATCACTCTTTATCCCTCCTCGTCATTCTTTCTCCCCCTCCTCATCACTCTTTCTCCCCCTCCCTCACTCCCTTGTCACTCTTTCCCCTCCCTCCCTCCTTGTCACTCTTTCTCCCCCTCCCTCCCTTGTCACTCTTTATCCCCCTCCTTCCCTTGTCACACTTTCTCCCCCTCTCTCCTTGTCAATCCCCCCCCCCACCTCAGTTGTAGTGTGGCCGAGCCCTCTATTGGTCCGCAGGTACAGGGAGCTTTTGTTTCCTGTACCCGGCCGGACTAACAGGAAGTGCACACTCAGTGTGTACTTCCTGTTAGTCCGGCCGGGTACAGGAGACAGATGCTCCCTGTACTCGCGGACCAATAGAGGGCTCGGCCACGCTACAGTGAGGGAGTGACAAGAGGGAGCGTTGAGCGCTTCCCTC